GAATTCAAACAAATGTAGTGTGTGTTTATATAGCGCATTTATCGTGCACTGTAAAAATGCAGGGTTCCACACAATTCATTAATGTTGTCCCAACACAAATTGATTAAGTTAACGTAACACTTTTAACTAATTTATGTGGATCTGACATAAAAAAATTAAGTTGTTCCAATGAAATATCAAGAATTGTGTTGTTTCAGCTTATTTTAAATAAGTAGTTTGAACAAGCAAAAAAATACAAATTTCTCGAGTGTGTATGGCCATACACCCGAAACACTTCACAATCATGAAAGGGGTATCTCCACACCACCACCAATGTACAGCATTCAGTTGAATAATGCGACTGCTAGGCATGGGCCGATGTAACATTCTGTATGATAACTTTGGATACTTTTTTTTTTTTTTTTGCTTGTTCAAAGTAATAAATAATGATGATTTCATTAGGACAACTTAATTTTTTTATGTTTAATCCACATAAGTGTAAAGTTAACTTAATCGATTTGTGTTGGTTCAACATGAACAAATTATATGGAACCCTGCTATTTTTACAGTGTATTGTGATAACTGTTTTAAATATGTTTTTTTTTAAATGTCTGGGTAAAAAATACATTTTTCCCCTTTAAACACAGTATATTTTATTTTGAAAAACATTTCATATTTTGTAACAGTAAACATGTCAGGCTAAATAATTAAATTGAATCATTCACATCTGCTGTCTTCATTAGGTATAAAAAAACAGATACACTTGGATACATTTTTTGCTATTATATATTTATTATATATTGTGTGTTGATACTAAAAATTTTTAAAACAAAACGTAAAAAAACCTTACAAAAAATATTCGCAGTTTTTAAACCTTGACTTTTTTAAACCGCGGTATACCTTGAAAACAGTTAATGTCCCATGTCTAACGACGGCAGCCACAGGACAATGGCGTCAGTGCGCACACCACACACCAGCTATTGGTGTAGTGGAGAGATATTGATACAGCCAATTCGGTGGATGGGAATGATTGGGAGGCCATGATGGTTAAGGGCTGAAAGGGAATTTGGCCAGGAGATCGGGGTTAAACCCCTACTCTTTATGAAAAGTGCTATGTGATTTTTAATGACCACAGAGAGTCTGGACCTCGGTTTATCATCTCATCCAAAAGACGGATGACAAACTTGTATACAGTACAAAGCCCCAACTGCAACAGTAATGTTATTAGTATAAATCAGAGCCTGTTTTAATCTTCTCATTAACAATAACACACTCAATCTATACACTCCCATTCTTTTTCTTTTGAAGGCTGACAAGTCCCTTGATAATACAGTAGGCAGCTCCTTATGAAATCATAAAAATTGATCAAAGCATTTATGGGCCTTTGCCAGGGGAAATGAAAATGGCACACTGCTTTATTTGTGTGTGTGTGTTTTAATGTAAACCATTCTCAGATTGTGCCAGAAGTAGAGCGAAAATGACATTTGATACTGCAAGCAAGCAATGAGCTTGTGGTTATTGAAAAGGCACCTTTGAATGTTGTGCGTGACCATCAGATACACAAAATCCGGATCGCTGTCATTGAGCGAAAACACCATTACACTATGAGAAATTTCTGTTATAAAAGGATAAATATTAGCATGCATTTGTTCATTGAACTCATTTTTTTTTATTGGGTGACTTTCCAAAAAACAATCCTCCAGCTTTGTGGCTATGTAATTTGAATTCCGTCCTCATTTCGTGTACATGTAGAACATACAAATGAACCATTGTATAAAAGATCCCCAAAAATGAGATAATGCGAGTAATTCGCAACACATAATTTAATGCTGCATTTAACGTAACGACAGACAGCTTCCTGTCCAAATGACGCAGTGGAGTGATGGAGGACAAACCCCCTCTTTCTCTCTCTCTCCATCCCTTTGCCTGTCTCAGTCATACATAATGGTTGGACATGAGCGACGACAAAATGTTTTCCCGCTCCTTTGTCATATCTATTCACAGGGTCATTATTTTAGGTCAGAGAGTAATTTTCTTAATTACCGTCTGTCACATCTGCGACAAAGACAATTGTGCTCAATAAAATCTGGCCAGTATGTCTGCAATCAATATTCAAATGCATGGCTGTCTGCTGCTTTGTTGAAAAGAGTTCAAGCTTTACATGAGAAGAACTTTCTTTGACAATTTGTATTGTGTTGTGCTTGTCTTCTCAGTTTTGCACCCTAAAGCTAACGTAATATAATGTGTTAACTAAAACATGTTTGTGAGATTTATGATTAAATTAACTTACAATTAAAACAACTGACTGGAATTTTAAATCGAGTATGGGATCATTTGATTGTCGCCTGAAGCAGACCAGAATTTAAAAAAGCTTTTCCACATTGAAATACCAAGTGTTGATAAACCAACTTGTCCTTCGAGTACTGAACAAGATCGACTATAAGAATTTTTCTACCCAATGCATGAAGTTCTCCAAGCAAACAATTCATACAAACACGGTGTGTGTTTTCCATACAGATTTGTGAGATCCATGCAGATACAGTGTGTTGCTATATTATTTATAGAGCTTTTTAGATCATTGTGCGTGTTTATCCTATGTTCTGAATGCTAATACAGAGGCCTGTTCCTCCCTCCCTGATCAACAGAGTGGAAATCATGTTTTCTTTGAAGTCTGAAGTGTACATAAAAGAACAAAGCCTTTCACACACAGACAGTTGTATTACTCTAACCAAACATATGTGATTAGTTCAGTACAACTTTGCTTATTAAAAAAGTGGCTTTAGAACTAATTGAAATTAAGGTCTTTATTCAAATCAGCATGGAATCAATTATAGACAATATGTGTAAAAACTACATTTTCTGTTTGCTCCAGACACATTAGATGAGCATTATTAGAAAATTTTGTTTTTATCTTTTACACTGTGTCTATCTGTTCACACTTATTGCGCAACACAGGCTATGAACAATACGCTCTTCCTTACACATGATATTTGGGTAATGATGTGATAAAAATATTAAAGTGTACAAGGCTTAAATATCAGTCTTGTAATTCTTGCGTTTAGCATACATTAAATAAAACTTTAAAAAGGCCTTCCAACCCAAGACTATTTCCAAATGTTTAATTTGTCCTAATTAAATGATCTTAGAGAGCATTGGTTTAGATTTATGAATCACATCATATATTAGTGTGTGTGAGTCTCGTATACACAGCTCCAAACTACTGCCTTCATTGCAGTGAATAGGGAAATGTGTCATTTGACTTGTTTCTAATTCAGTCGCCGACCAGCACGGAATAAAGAGAGTTGTAAATCCTCTGAGATGCAGCGTTTTGATAGTACATGTAAATTGGCTAAAGACAGCGTGCACACACACACACACACACACACAAATATATATATATATATATATATATATATATATATATATATATATATATATATATATATATATATATATAGTGCTGTACAGACATTGAAAAATCAGAAGTCGAATCGGTCATGAGCAGAGCATTCACTGTCCATGGTCCTGAACACGCGCCAGTCTTGTCTGCGGGCCAATTTTTGGCTGAGTGTTAATCTCGTTTTAATTGAGGTAATAAAACAAAGAGTTAACCTAAAGAAAGACTTAGATTTAGCAATTTTCTCAACTAATTCAATGCCCCAAGAGCACCAAAAATACGTTAGAGAATGGTGACCATTAAGGAATGTGCACTTACCTGGATAGTTTGACGATTATACACTTTCACTACGTGGAAATTAAAACTGTATATCCCTTTGCGCGGGGCGAAGAAATTGCTCCTTTCTTCGTCGAAACTTCTACCAACGTTGACCAGTACCTGAAGGAGGATGCAGACATCAGAATCGAAGCCAAACATCGCTTAAAAACGCCTTATTACAATAAGTTTTGTCTCTTGAAGTTTTACAGTGAAAACTCGCTTGTACAAAGCAGCAAATCAATTGATTATACATACAAGAGCAGATGGAGGATAGTTTTAAGACACGACAAAGAAGTTCACGGCTATTAGATATAATTGAAAGCCATTAGCCTGTAATTGACCTTTAACGAAGTGGAAGGAAATGTGACATCTCCCTAGATTACACGTATCAGTTAAAGCTTTCATTGCTGCGATATTTCTTTGATTTTGCGATCTGGTTTGCATTTGTAACCGTGACACAAAAAACATCCCACTGATCCCAACGCGTCAAAAGTAAGATTAAACAAAACACGTGCCTCTTTCCATACTGAAACTGTACCTGATCGAAGTAGATCACCATAGTTCGATTGCTCATCTCCGACGGCTCGTGGTTCGTGTTTCTCACCACGGAAAAAGCCACTTTGGCGCTTCCCGAGCGCACCGATATCCCAAGAGCCGTCCCAGTGGGGTCTGAGGTGGGATTTGAATCGCACACGACCAAGCATTTCCCCTCCAATACGATGGGCTCTGTCTCGTTCTGTGCGTATGCATGGCACACTAACCACACTGCGCCGAGCACCAACGTCAACATCATGCCAACTTCGCTCCGCACCTAACAGCAGTCTTCTCTCAAAGACAACACAGCCCGCTCAAATCCCGAACCAAAAACACTCCACACCTGTCCTCACTGTACAATGAAGTCCTTCCAAACAGTTCAAGTTAAGACTAAAACAGTTTCCCCACTCGTTCCCTTTCAGTCCGTAGTAGAAGAGCCGACTGGAAGCGGATCAAGGCCCTTTCCCTGCTCGCGCGCAGTAGAATACATAGCGCGTGGGGTCCGTCTGCTCGCGCGCTCAATTATTGATATGTGAGATATTAGAAGTGAAACACAAAGGCTCGTGAGCGCAATCCTCCCGCCCTCCTCGCTCTCCCCTCCGGGCCCCCAATCAGCGCAGGAGACGCTCTTTACTTTTCCAATCCTTTTTCCAAGCTAGTGCATGGACCGCCTCTTCTCGTGACAGCGCCGATGGGGTCCCACCCCTCAAAAGGAGTATCTTACAGGTGGATCCTACTCAGCAGACAGAAGGGGATGACACCCCGATCCGCTGAAAATAGGGGCGCGTTATTTTATCATCGTTCTGCCGGACACAAGGACGCAATTTATTCTTCCGTGCCATAATTCTAACTCAAGATGAATGGATTGGGAGCGCGCGGAAACGCAGCGGAGGCTGGCTTCATGAAAGGCGGGTGGAAGAAGTTGAAAAAGTTGTTTTGCTCACCACCGGACACCTATTGCTGAGGAAAAGGATGATAAGCAACAAATTTCCGCTAGTCAACTTTTAACAGGAAGACCGCGTCTTAAAAAAGTGATTTTGTTAGAAAGGAAAATTAAAATATGGAAAATAATAAATTCAAATAATAAATTCAATATAATGGAGAAGAAATTTAATTTTACTTTACAAATATGGGCTTTTAAAGTATAAATAAAGAATGTAATTTAACATGCATTTACAATGTGAAACTATTTTTTTATTGTAAGTTAAGTAGGCTATTTCTTTAAAAAATATTCATAAAAATCCTGGACGTTTTTTTGCAGATCCTTTGTGTATTTTTTATTAAATGTTAAATATTTACAAGTAAGTTAGGCGATATTTTGTTACTAAACTGTCAGTCTGCCTGTATTTTTAGCTATGGCTCAAGAAAAGGCTATTTTAATTAACGCAAGTCTTGGTGTGGTGGCCTTTATTTTAGCACCTTCACGACAGTTATGGGTAGACTATATTTAAGCTGCAAAGCACATTTTACTTGTTAATGTATCGTATAATGTAGGCTAGAAAATATATTTTTATTAAATAGGTTTAAATAGATTTAACCTATTACGGGATTTGGCACAGATGTCTTTTTATCATACATTTTTAAAACAATTATACCACATGCTTCTAATGCAATACCGTGGATATAAAAATCACCATAGTTTAACTGTGGCAATTGAATAACTACTGGCTATACATCAATCTTTATCTACCACAGTAGTCTTGGGAAACAGCTGACGCATTGTGAATAAACGGAGAAGTCTGCGTAGAACATTTACGCCGCAAACTTAAGGAGCATATGCTGTTGCTCCAAATATTTGGCGCAGAGTTGTTGATGGCATGTGGCGTCTGAGGCCCGCGCGATTCTCATTTTTTCTGACAGCGCTCATTCTGCGCCAGCGCAGTTCCTACATGACATTTAATAAATGAGATCACTGAGCAGGTTTTAGCAAGAAAAGAGACATGGCGAGCTAAACAAGAACAGAGGACGAGCTTGACATTTGAAAGAAACAGCGACAACAAAGCATGTAGGAGAATACGAGAGTTGAGCCGATAGTTCATTAAATTGGACGCCACATATGAAAGGGAAGTGTTTTTGTTAGTATTTGCAGATCTGGACCTGGTACAGGAGGAAAAAATATATAATTATACACAGATACTTTTATGTGCACACCAACGTATGGGTACCTGCTGTTATGGTGAAAGCAAAGAGAATAAACAGTAGGTATTTCACCACCTGTATCTCACAGTTATCTCAACAGGAGCAGACGGCATGCTGATCTGGAGTCAGCAAGTCACCTATTCACTTTATCAAAAGAAATGTTCTAAAGAAGAGATGATGAGCTGTAGGCACAGCTTTAGTAAGGTCAGCCACCCACAAGACTGCAGTGGTGTGCTGTTAAAAATGCCTTAAAAGCGCTGGAAGCTAAAACATGCAGTTATGTGTTCATCGCACACTTCACGTTATCCGCAAATCTAAACTCGAAAAACTCATAAAATCAGATTATAATTAAAGTATTTTTTTAAAACGTATTGCGTTATTTTTCCTCTTATTGTGTTACAATACTGGCAGATCATTTGTTTTGTTTTTTTGGACAATCATTTACATCACCAACCCAAACATTATTCAATCATTCATTTTTTTTCGGCTTAGTCCCTTTATTGATTAGGGGTCGCCACAGTGGAATGAACCACCTTTTCCAGTATATGTTTTACACAGTGGATGGCATTCCAGCTGCAACCCAGTACTGGGAAACACTAATACACACTCACACACATACACTATGGACAATTTAGTTTATTCAATTTACCTATAGCCCACGCCCATACAGGAAGAACTTGCAAACTCTACACAGAAATACCAACTGCCCAAGCAACCTTCTTGCTGTGAGGCGACAGTGCTAACCCAGACATCATATAATTTCAAACTACTAAAATGTAACTTTAGTTCAACTTTTCAACTAAAAGTTGTCAGAACAGATATGGAACAAAATCAATGCCGAAAGTCTTGAATTAAAAAGCTTGTTGAATATCACAAACTGAAAAAAATAATACACCGTATTAACAAGTTCTTGCATTTTAATGACTTGAATTCCAGGGTTTGTATTTTTAGGTCCTGAAATTTAACATAGCTGTTTATTTAAGATGTGAATATTTCAACTAAAAATATTTCAAACACGTTTTCATACTTAAAAATTCAATAATTCATATTCAATTTTCAGATTTCACTTACAAAATATTCAATACCCTTTAAAAATACGATGTATAATATTCAAAAGGTCATTTTCAGTTCATTTTATTTCAGTTCAAATATTCGCTTCCATAAATTCAGTGGATCAAATTCGACTGTTAAAATTCAACATTACATCCGGGAACTGCAGGAAAAGCAATAGATTGCAGATTGAAGATCGCCAGCTGCTCTAGCTTTCACCAGCAGGTGGAGATGGAATAATGTAAGATTTTTAACCCAGTAAACAGGCGAGAAAAAGGCTATTAAAGGCACAAAAGTAGCATTTAATATTAATATCAATGCTTTGGACATTATAAATGATAAAAAGTATGAGTAAAATGAGTAAATAAGGTTTTAGTCATCTATATTTGCCCTTATGTAACGGAAGCCAGCTGGTGATCGCGTAAATATCAGTCCTCGGATCCAGCGAAAGACGTTGTTCCGCAATCTTTAGCATCCTCGTAGCTTGTCTCCCATGCCGGCTCGCTCCCTGCACAAACCGGTGCGGTTACTTGCACATAAACCGTCTTTTGATGAATATGATGTTACACATTGTCTATCTTTATTGACTCTTTCTTCCATAGACGCGAAGTATTATATTGACAGCTAAAGAATATAAACGTAAGAGAAAAAGGAGAAGAAATAGCCTATTATAATAATAATACAACATAGATAAACATTGACAGGGCTAAGAACAATTACGAACAAAGATTTTCAAAACCAGAGAGATTTTATGAGAATGTCACACAAAACAGTTTACTTGGAACTGTTAAACAGAGTTCAGGTATGATTTAAGGTTGGGTATGGATGGGGCGTGTAATTTAAAATAATTTAACATAACGTGCGAATGCATTAAAGGAGCGTCAGTTATTATTTAAGCGCAGCTATGTCAGGATTGGGATAGGTTATATAATTTTTATTATTTAAATTATGATTATTAATATTAATATTTTATGACATGTATTTGGGCTATTGCGCTTAAATAAGTCATCCGTGATTCTAAATTAATATTTCTATTTATCCTTTTTATCACTCTGTCTTTCTCTTCTTTTTTCTAATTATTGGGGTTCTGCCACGGTTAAACATTTGCAAAATGTCTTAGTTCGTCCAGATTATTGTTTTATTGTTATGTAGCCTATAGGCGAGAAAAAGGTATTAACGCAAAAGTGGCAATGTCGCAGCCAATTATAAGTAATAAAATGAGTCGCCTGTGGTTTGATAATAGGCAGTTATAACTGACTTTAATTTGTTTTCAGTATTATGAGAAAAACGTTATTTATAACTTTTCAGCGACCGTTTGTATTGTATGATTAGCAATGTTGATCTTTTTTTCAGTTATTAAACATATAAACTTAATTAAACTGGTTTAAATTTAATATAGTTGTCACTTCAGGTAGTTTCATAAGATTAATGTTTAGAATGCGTGGTTGAGGGGTTCCTGCAAAGCAGCTCAGTGTTCATCATCATGGGGTATTACTGAGCTGTAATCGCCATCTACTGGAGAGAATGTATTTGCTCATTTATTCTATTAACTCTCTTCTGCAAGTGTGTTTTATGATTTCACAAAGTCAAACCATTATGTTTTTATTTTATATTTTGAGATGATCATATTTAAATAAACAATTGCTAGGGTAGCTAATAGTTTCTTTTTTCTTGTTTAAAAAAAAAATCAGTAGCCTATAAAATCATAATTTTTGCTTGACAAAGTTATTGGTTTAGGATTCTGGATGCATTTTTGCTAAATGATTGTTGGATACTCATAAGCTCACACTAGTTAAATCAATTATATTATCAGAAATGACAGATATAAGAAATCCATTAATATTCATCACTCTTTTTACAATTATACAAGCAATTTCGCTCCGACGTCAGCTCCACTTTCGGAAATGGTAAACAGCAAGGTGTTATTCATATAAGCCCAAGCATGACATCTCATGAATGATTAATATAATAATCGAAACACTCTTGTAGGCTATTCTTATGCTTGGCCAAGTGTCATGACTTTCATTTTCATTTTACATTATTATGCACAAGCCCAGATATCATCTGAAACTTCGGAAGAATTCCTATCATATATTGGCAGCCATCCAGCATCTCTTAATCAGTTTGATATGCGGCGCTGGCTCTGACCGGCCACCGGAGCTCGCGGCCACTCGTTCGACTTTGTCGTGTGCAAGCCGCACCGCACATGCATAAAAACGTCAATCATTTCATTCATTCATCAATTCATTCATTTTCCTTCTGCTTCGTCTCTATTTTAGAGGAAAAGCAATAATCTG